AACAAATCATGAGTGGAACCCCTGTGAGCACAAATTAAAAGTATTTTTGATTTGACTAGGTTCATGTGATAATAATAACTACTAAATGTAAACGCGTTAAGACCCCCCTCTCTAGTTTTTATTCAGACAATGCCCTCCACCCCCCCCTCACACACACACACACACACACACACTAGAATGAGTGGCTGGAACCACCCATGCCGGCGTTTTTCTTATGGGCAAACTTGCGTTTATCGTATCTGTGCTGCGAGCGCGTTCATTCGAAAACAAGCTGCTGGCTGAAGTGACAATGTGACAATACTATCGCTGCATCATTTACCAGCAGACAAAAATTAGGCCAAGATATGTTTCTCCGATATTTTAAGTAAATGGGATTGACTTCACCTCCACAGACATAAGCTGCGCCTTCTCTCGTGTAATTGGATATAACCCTTCACTCCATCTTCGTGCGAAGCGTTGCGTGCGCCGCCATGCGTGAATCGACGAGGGCAGCTTCAGTGGCTAAGTACGAAGGGCTCGGGAATCCCACGTGAGGCACCCTACCGGGCAGTGGCGGCAAGTCGTCTTTCGGTCGGAAATACCATGAAATATAAATTTCGTGACATTTATATTGCTACGGCTAAGCTATAGGTAAAGGTCTATGCAGAACGTCCCCTATTCGTGCTTTGGAATTACTGCCTGTTGCTTTCCTTAGGTTGTGTCTAACAAAGAAAACCAGTCCTTGATTCATTCCCCGTGTTTTGTAGATCAGTAGTATGTATATGAAAAGCCAATGCCGCACGCAAGAGCGGCAGCCATTGCGGAGTTCCCTCGTTAAGTGGTAGCCGTAAGTCTAACCAGCATCATTAATAACAGCACACGTTCCTACAGCAATTAATCGAGCATGGAATCACGGATTCTTTGAATAGAGCAGAAATATTTAACGCTGTAGCGCTCAGTAGTTAGCATAATCAACCAATCAATCAATAATTTGACGTGCCCCAGAAAAACCATGAGGTCTTAGTGCAAGCGCACGCAAAAGTAAAACAAGAAAAATTAAACAATGCTATACAGACAGTCGTCAGAAAAATAAATCATATAAAAAGAGTGAAAACGCACAGGCAAAAAGATATTCGCGCAAAACTGGAAGAATATAAAGACAAGACGAGAATCATGGAATGAGAGTGAACAATAAAGGGGAATATACACAACTATAAGGAAGGCTCCTGAAAGACGGGAAAGACGTACATTGTGGATAACTATGTTTACACATTGAAGAGCCGAGATAAAAAAAAATGACAGTGGACTGTGAAAAACATTAGGATAATGAAAGTTAACATTATAGAGACTTCGTATTCTTTGAGCGCTATAGTGTGTAAAGAAGTTGGCAGGCATATATGTAGATCGGTTCTCTCTGTTTCCGAAATCCCAAAATTTACACAACTGAAAATTAAAGGGCAGGAAATCGTACCGTTAAGAGGTTTGTAAAGAAATAGCACGTCACCACGATTTCACCGGAAGCGAAATGATGGTAATGATAATAATCTGGCAGTATTACAACGAGATACAGAGTGATTTCTAGCAAAACGATGGTTGTAAATGCTTATGATTTTTTTATTTGCTGGACTCGCACAGTGGCGTCACTGCCAGATTTAGCAATGGCAATTCAGATCACAGATGCATATTCAAGTTGAGGAAGACATGTTGCCGTGTACTATTTGTGGAAGGCTGTAGGAGAAATGAATTCTCGGAGATTCTGCAAACACAGCCGAGAAACGAAGGCCACGCATGGCAGAACGAAATATGATAACAATAAATGATGATAATAATAATAATAATAATAATAATAATAATAATAATAATAATAATAATAATAATAATAATAATAATAATAATAATAATAATAATAATAATATAATAATAAAACCGTTGAGGAAACAAGCTGCCATTTTCGAAGAAAAAAGATCGGAAGAATAAGATAAAAACACGGGGAAAGAAAGAAAGAAAAGAATAACAAAGAAAGTGAGAACCGAAGTGAAACAAATAAAGAAAAGCTTATCCAGCTCTAGACTCCCTTCAGGATCGACGCCAATTGGTCAAAGCTGCCTCATGGTTTTTGGTTTTTTTTTTCTGATCGCCAATTAAGAACCTTTGTAAAGAAGGTCCCCGCTTCCCCGCCCCTCCCGTTTCTTTTCTTTCTGAGTGAGCGGAAGAGACTGAGGGTGAAAACGTGAAACGTATGACATGGCCAGCTCTGACGCCATCTCCCCCCATCGACACGAGCTAATGCAGCGAGCCGAAATGGAGGGGATTGTGCCACGCTCGCGGATCGAAAGCGCAGCAACGGGAGGGGATTGCGTGTGCGACTCCTATTGGTCCGCTACACCTCGCGCATTTTTCCGTGGCTTGCCGCGTGGCGAGTTTGCGACGGGCCGTTAATTACAACGCATCATCGGCGAGGAAGAGTTGGCGGAGCGGTGCCGTGTAGGTTCCACAACGTCGTATAGCGAAGGGAAACGTTTTCGAGGCGCTCGTTCCTTAGTTACAACCAAGTGATTACACCACACAATTAGGACAAATAAAGCATAGGCGTTTTTACCATTGTTTTTAACCTTTGAAGTAATTATTACGTAAACAATAAATGAAAGCGGACGAAAACGTACAAGTTCCGTCGATGGGATCAGCTTTGCGGGGTGATCCGGGATAGCGGCAGGGCAAAAACCTCCGAGATCGAAACGTATGCGGAGACCTATACCAGAGCGTTTAGCCGGTTTTCAACTAGGGAAAAAGGCGCATGCACCGTCACAACTTTAAAAAGTTGAATTCCCTCTGTTTGCACATGTGTTACCATTACACAACTCGATGCATATTGCACTTGTAGCACTGAGAAAACGCGTGCATTGGAAAGACCACAACAACTTCTGTTACGCTCGCCGTTATTTCTGACACCCGAGATGAACTTGCAGTCATTTGGTCATAATTGCGAGATGACAGCAGACATTAAGAAAGCGCAAAAACAGTGAAATGGAAAATGCACTCTCTGCCGTCAAACATGCAATACTGGCTGTTTTCTATGCATTGCTATGGGGAACATTCGAAGAGAATTTAAACCGACCTGACCAAGATTTCAATTCTTTGACTTGAGACTCAGTCAAGTTTTATCTAATGCTGAAATGCTTTTCTCAGCAAAGTACAGAACCGCTATCGAACGTAATAAAAAGAAAATAAGTGACACTTCATCGAAAAATTCAAATTGTATCTGTAAGTAGGTGTAGTTTTGTTAGAGTAAACATTCCTTTAAAAATAAAGCGAAATCTCTATTTTTTTAAAACAGTAATGCGTAGTCTTTGCAACCTTGTGACGCCACAGGAACAGGTAATAAAATTTTATAGGCTGCGTACAGAGTCTTCCAATGTTGCTCACCCTAACTTTCTGTACTCAACCTTATAGAATACCGGCAATTTGTAAATTCGACCACGCGAAACTCACATAACGAAGCAGTGGTTTTACGTGAACAAAAGTTATCGAAAACAACCTGACTCACTCAAACGTTGGATAGGTATTCACAAAATTTAGGCATATCATTTTATGAAAATACTGTTCAACTGGATTGCTCATATTTGCTAGATTTTTGCATTGACTCGAGCCTCACCAAAATTTCGAATGAAAATAGCTGTTTCCATCAGCCACCAAAATTTTGAGAATTTTTAAAATTAAATATAATATTCATATAGGTTCAGCACTTTGCAAATAAAAGCTTTTCTGCGTTTATATATTTTCGAACGGGGAACATCAGGAATATTCAGCTCGCTTGTCTCCATCGAGTTCGTTTTCACGACACAGAATTTACGTGAGTTACGTCTCCGAACGAACAGTTTGATGTAGTTTATGGTCAATCACCGTGGTAATTTTTCATGTGGGACCATACCCACATCCACAGCAAGTCTCCAAGGTGAACAGCCTCTAGTCGACAGACCAATGTGGGTAAGGGAAACTGGCAAAATGGATTCATAATCAAGTTATTTTCGCGGAAGGTTCAGTCGCATAGAACCTTAGAAAGTTCGAACACGTATTTGTTGTTGCTGTTGGCTTTAAGCGGCGTAACTCTTCAATCATAAAAAGAAATTGAAAAGTACTTTGATTCTTATTTTTTCAAGTCCTGACTTGCTGCATAAATAACCATTTTTAGAAAATTCCTGGAACGTTAAACCCCAATAATTATCAGATTATTATTTAGAAAATTTCATGAACTCTCTTTGGAGAGATATTATACACGTGTCGAAGAGTCACGACATTCAAAAGAAGACTTTTTAAAGAGCGTCATATATACTTGAAATGTTAAGATTGACTGAAATGGTATTATATTTCCTTTACTGTTTCTCAGAATGTGGTAACTATATTTATTTCCTTTTTTTATATGTGAGTCAGTAAAGTATACTGCCCAGACGAAAGTTTGCCACCGCAATCAAATGAAACTTTACTCGGCCATTTAGGGCAAAAAATACTTTGCAGCTCGATTTGATCGAAATTCTGGCGTGTACGCACGTATCCCCGAAAGGAGACGAAAGTCGTACAAGTGGGTCTTCGCAAAAACCGTGGCGGCTTCGAAAGCGAGCACGTTATAGCAAGGAATGGTGAGCTGCCAACCACCGTTTGTAGCACGATGCCATAAAGACATCCACACGTATTTCTCAGAAATAAAAGCTTCTTAGTTGCCGTAAAATTTGTCCTGTCCCGGGGACCGAAACGGAGACCAGTGGGGAACCGGGCCTTTCCGGCGGGTGAGTCGCTACCGATTGAGCTAAGCGCCATATTTATAGCCTCCCGGTTAGCTCAATTGACATAGTGACCACCCGGAAAGGCATCGGTTCAGGGTTCGATCTCCGGAGCTTACTTTCTGGGAAATCCACACGGATTTCTTCATGGCTTCGCGCGGCAACCGGGTCATAATCAACTCCCCTTTCTCAACCCTTCCGCCTCGCTGAAGGATTCCGCAGAACTGCATGCGCCGTAGTACTGACCTGTGGGCACATCTTGCACTGGTATTTTCTGGGCTGCGTCGGGTGGCCATGCGGTGCAGTGTTGGCAGTGGCCGCGCCGTTGGCCGCCTTGAGTGGCTGCGGCGCGGCCAGCATGGGACTGGGCGTACCGGCCGAAGACGACGAGCCACTGCTTGACGCCCGGCCGCCACCACTGTTGTACATGGGCAGCAGGTCGCCTTCCTCCAAGCTCGGGCCTGCAAAGACACAACAGGAAGACAGTGTTCTTCATACACGAGGCAGCCCTGTATTATACAGGCCGAGAAGACAACGTTGCTCGCTAGGCCTAATTTGTGATTGTGCAAGCTCTCACCACGGACGCAGCTCATCGCCTTTCGGCGAATAACTGTCTTGAAAAGAGCACCCGAGTTTGGCATAAAACTTTATCAATCAAGTTAAAGGCAGTCGCAGTTTGCGTTACCCCTTAAAACACGCAAGATATCCGCCTTTCAGGTGTTTCTCTGCCTTGGTGCCCACAGAGCACCACCTTTCTAGAGGTTCTAGGACTACATGTAAAATTGAGCAAACAAACCCAGATTTACGTTGCGATGAACCACGTTGTCAGATGCTTGGTGGCCCGTTGAATGATACTACCTGGACATTACCACGAGAGCTCAATTAATGACTCACTGTCCTGATACATCATTCAAGCTTGCTGCTCAAAGACCATAATAGACGCGCATCGAGAAGTTATTCTACGCAAAAGAGACCGTTTTTCTCGAGCAGGCCAAGAAAAAAATTTGCCCCGAGAAGATTGAAAGGTAACCTTTTAAAGTGGTGATACACGGGAAGTACATACGAGGCCGTTGTCGAGGGAAGTGCAACGCATGCGTGTTTTTACAGTTACCTTCGCGACCACACTGACCCCGCGTTCCAGGCGAACCAGCCTGGAACGTGAAGACGTCAGTGCGACTAGTTTCCTTTGTGAACCCTATCGGATGTGAACCCTAGTTCGATACTCGACTTGGACTCCCGAAGTTGCGGGCTTGTTCTCTGCTATGTTGGGTTCAATGTCGATCGGAGGTGCCTCGTCTCAGACCTCTGCGGCGATAGCTCACCATGGGAGCGATGGTTCTCGGCCTGGCTCTGAGGCCAGCCCTTCTGGCCGGACAGGAACGACTTGAGTTTCTGCAGCGAGATGACGGGCGTCGCGCACGCCGATCCCGGAGCCTGGGACGTGCCCAGGCATGCCGGCGACTCCACGAACCCGCACGTGGCCAGTGCGGTCGCCGACCGGTCAAACGGCGCGCGTCGCTACACGACTCGTACCGCGCTGCCGCCGGCCACTGCTGCTGCTGCTGCTGCTGCTGCTTCTCTCGCCGCACTGGGCTCTCGGCGCCGATGCCTGCAGGTTCCAAGGGAACGCCGCCCAGCGCCGATGACGCAACCACGCGCCCCTCATTTTGCCCCTTTGTGCGCGGGCGGGTTGTTTGTGCCTTGCGCGTGTTTTGCTGCTGGCTCCATTTGCATGCTCCCTTTCCCCAAATCGAAGGGGTTCCCCGCGCGGAGTCACCCTTTCGCCAGGGCGTCTCTCAAAAACAAGCAAGCCGCGTGTGTGCTCTTGCGACGATCGATGCCCAGCCGCGCTCCCCATACGCGTCGTCATCTCTGCTTTTGCTGCTCTTGCTTCCTCAACACGAGCAGGCACAGAGCTGCCGCTGCTGCTGCTGCTGATGCCACCGCCAAGATGAGAGCGTGCAGCAACCCCTCCGGAGGGTTCGGGAAGACCCCCGAATACCAGCAAGCTGTACCGACGCGTTCCTCCCGTGCCGCGGCACGTCTGGCACGTGGCACGTGTCTGCACACGGCGTGCACCACAAAGGCGCGCCAGGAACACGCACAAGTCTATCGACGAAGTGGCCGCTTTGCTAGACTGTTCCTGCGAGGGCTGCGACCAAGTGCTCACATCTCTAGCCTGTCGCCTTTGATACTGATGCACGTCAGCCGTTCTGGCCGGAAAGACGGGAGTATGCTACTGGCTGGCATAGAAAACAGTTTCAAGAGGAAGTGCAAGGTGTTGGGAAGGCGTCGTTGCGACCACATTCTGTGTACGATGTGGTTTGTCGCGGAAAGGCGTTGCGGCAGCTGTGGGTGCGACCTGGAGCAGTATAACCCGAGCAAAGAACAAGCGTCCGTCGTTTCGCTCGAAGGCGGGCTTCCAAGCGTTCCTTGCCACGTTTGAGTACCTATACCTGCCGTCAACTGTCTTTTTCACGTCCTAAAGCACACTGAGAACGTTGAAAATTGTCAGAAATGTGATGCATATTGTCTGAGGAGTTAGGGACGGAAACGGGGTGAGTATGAAGATTACACGTCCAGGAGACCACAACGCACTGACGTCTGTCGACGTGAAAAAAGGAGAGGGCAGGGTGCATCGACAGCTGCTGGATAGTGGTTGCACACGCAAAAAGACGTAAATTACAAGAAGGGGTCAGGGTGGGCAAAGAGGGAGGGCTCGTGCCGTATATATTGGCAGCGTCATACAATCATACATTCCAACAGGCTCTATATGCCAGTTTCGTTTTTTTTAAAGACATGTTGTGTACGCTGCTAGAATGTACTGTGTGTATCTTTAAAATATGACCATCAAACTACGGACGCCTCTACGATCTCTAATCTATAGCATACAGCAAAGCTTCTTCGTATTTCTTGCTATTTCACCTGATGCTCCGATGGGCACAATACGTTGCGTGCCTTCCTGGACGACGTGTCCACAATGTTGACGATCATGTATGAAGCTAACTTGTTTGATTCCTTGGATAGGTTACAATGAGAACTAAAGCGGACAGCGTCAATAATCTAGGGACGATAAGTTCGAGACATCTCACGCAAATAATAACACTGTAGCGTGCTCTCTTGCTGACAGAGATGACGTCGATAGGTTCTTAATGTAGCACAGCACAAACAAGTTTTGTGTTAACGTTCTTAAGCTGAAACGGCAGCGTAGACAAAAAGGAAGAAAACGAAAGGACCTATCTTCGAATTAATTCATTCTTTAACACACCCCATCGTAACAATATAAATCTTTCCAGAAAACGAATTTTCCACTTACAACGTGCGTAGATAGAAAACCACAGCGCGTCTGTCAGTTAACGGCAATGCAAAAAATAGCAGATCCCGTTGATATACTCGTGGTCTCTAAATGTCGCGAAATTAATAGGCGAGCAAAACGTAGAGTCGTGGTGCTCGTTTCACGACGCCATTGCAAAGTGTGAGCGCGGTCGCATCGGAAACACTAGTGGTTCCGCATCCATTTCGAAGTAGTCTATTTCAGTAATGAAACGTGCACGATGACGCGATAAGAAGCTTTTCACGGGTAAACGCAGAAAGCCTGCGCTGTGGTTCAAAGTGTGGCTCCTTGAAGAACAACTGACGCGCGTAGCGACCATTCACATTACCATAAAGCATTCATCGACGATGATATGTATGCGTTACTACTCACACGTACATGCGTTTAGCTAAGCTGCTATGCATTCTCACAGTGGCGTTGTTGCAAACGTCGAAACTGTTGTCTTCTTTGATTCGCAAAACAAAACGCTCAACAGAGGAATGAGGTGCAACCACAATGAGTAAGAAAACATCAGTGTTGCTTGCTGATCTTTATACAATGCACTAAAAGCAAGAAATATTTGCCGAAGATGCAATCCGACGTCCTCGTTCGAAGCTCTTCGGAGCCAATCCAAGAGCGCTGCTGCGCGTGAGCGCCAACGCTCGTGCGCCCGCTCTATGGATATATAGTATAGTATACGTAACTCTATGGATACAGTAGAAACTGTGAAACCAACGCAGTACTTCGCCGTGTCTAACTGCATGGTTGCAGGTGTGCTAAACTTACAAGCTCAAGGAAAATTCTGCTCCACTGTGAGAGCGAAGAGGACAATGTGGTCGGACGCGTATTCGAAGTCATCCAAACCAAAACATTGAAGTGGCGTCGGCGTTTCTCTGCCGTGCACCACCTTACTCCTCAGTAGGCGAAGAGGATGCATCTGCCGTGTCGTAATGTCAGAAAAAAAAATACATACTGGTGTAGTTATAAACCGTGCGCCCCGTCACGGTGGTCTAGTGGTTATGGCGCTCGGCTGCTGACCCGCAGGTCACGGGATCGAATCCCGGCTGCATTTTCGATGGAGGCGAGAATGCTTGAGGCCTATGTACTTCGATTTGGGTGCACGTTGAAGAACCGCAGGTGGTCGAAACTTCTGGAGCCCTCCTCTACGGCGTCTTTCGTAATCATATCATGGCTTTCGGACGTTAAGCTCCTATTATTATTATTATTATTATTATTATTATTATTATTGTTTTTGTTGTTGTTGTTGTTGTTGTTGTTGTTGTTGTTGTTGTTGTTGTTGTTGTTGTTGTTGTTGTTGTTGTTGTTATTATTATTATTATATTATTATTATTATTATTATTATTCCTGTCATAATTTGAGAGTGCTTGCCAGATGTACTCCACCCCATTCTTATTCTTCTAGTTACTTCAATCTCGTGGTTCAGCTCCGCGGTTATTACCTGCCCTAAGTAGACATAGTCTTTTACAACTTGAAGTGCACTATTACCTATCTCGAAGCGCTGCTCTCTTCCGAGGTTGTTGTACATTACTTTCGTTTTCTGCAGATTAATTTTAAGACCCACTTTTCCCCTCTCCTTGTCTAACTCCGTAATCATGAGTTGCAATTCGTCCCCTGAGTTACTCAGCAATGCAATGTCATCGAAGCGCAGGTTACTAAGGTACTCTCCATTAACTCTCATCCCTAACTGTTTTCATTCTGTAGGCTTCTGAAAACCTCCTGTAAGCACGCGGTAAATAGCATTGGGGAGATTGTGCCCCCCTGCCTTACACCCTTCTTGATTGGTATTCTGTTGCTTTCTTTATGAAGCACTATGGTAGCAGTTGATCCCCTGTAGATTTCTTCCAGGATGTTTATATATACTGCATCTACGCCCTGATTCCGCAGTGTCTGCATGACGGCTGATATTTCTACTGAATCAAACGCCTTTTTGTAATCTATGAAGGCTATGTATAGCGGTTGGTTATATTCTGAGCATTTGTGTATTACCTGATTGATAGTATAAATGTGGTCGATTGTTGAGTAGCCTGTTCGAAATCCTGCTTGTTCTTTTGGTTGATTGAATTCTAATGTTTTCTTTACTCTGTTAACAATTACCTTGTAAATAGCTTGTATACTACAGAGAGCAAGCTGATCGGCCTGTAATTCTTCAAGTCCTTGTCATCTCCTTTCTTATATATTAAAATGATGTTAGCGTTCTTCTAAGACTCTGGTACTCTTCCCGTCAGGAGACACCTTAAACAGGGTGGCTAGTTTTTCTAACACAATCTGTCCTCCATCTTTCAGCAGATCTGATGTTACCTGACCCTCACCAACAGCTTTGCCTCTTAGCATGCTCTCCAAAGATTTTCTGACTTCTATCATTACTAGTGGGGTGTCATCTGGGTTAGTGCTAGTTCTTATAGTACTAAGGTCGTGGTTGTCCCGGCTACTGTACAGATCTCTGTAAAAATTCCTCCACTATATTAACTCTCCTATCCATATTGGTAGTTATTTTGCCTTCTTTGTCCCTTAGTGCATACATCCTATTTTTGCCTATCCCAAGTTTCCTCTTCACTGCTTTAACGCTTCCTCCGTTTTCCAGAGCGTGTTCAATTCTCTCCATGCTATCACTTCTTACATTGCATACCTTACGCCTATTAATCAACTTCGAAAGCTCTGCCAGTTCTATTTTGTCTGTCGACTTTCATGATTTGACGCTTCTTAATGAGATTCTTCATTTCCTGGGAAAGCTTGCCAGTGTCTTGTCTAACTACCCTGCCTACAACTTCCACTGCACACTCCGTAATGATACTCATCAACTTATCATTCATTGTATCTACGCTAAAGTTCGTTTCCTCACTGTATAACAGTATACCAGCTGTATCTTGCCCGTACTTAGCTACGGAGCAGAAACCTGGAGACTTACAAAGAGGGTTTAGCTTAAACTGAGGACGACGCAGCGAGCAATGGAAAGAAAAATGGTAGGTGTAACCTTAAGAGACAAGAAGAGAGCAGAGTGGATTAGGGAACAAACGGGGGTTAAGGATATCATAGTTGAAATCAAGAAGAGGAAATGGATATGGGCCAGGCATGTAGCGTGTAGGCAGGATAACTGCTGGTCATTAAGGGTAACTAACTGGATTCCCAGAGAAGGGAAGCGGGTTAGGGGGAGACAGAAGATTAGGTGGGCAGATGAGATTAAGAAGTTTGCGGGTATAAATTGGCAGCAGCAAGCACAGGACCGGGTTAACTGGCGGAACATGGGAGAGGCCTTTGTCCTGCAGTGGACGTAATCA